CCCCAAAACCCCAAAACCCCAAACCCCTATAATTTGAATAAAGATGCTTTTGGATAGAAAATTTTAATAATTAAAGATAAGATGATTTAAAAGTAGAAATAAGTGCAGATAAAGAATTAAAATGAAAGTTCTGAGGCAGAGAATGATTCAATGCAAGATGATGAGGATGATGTGAAGAAAAAGAAAAAAGAAAATAGACAATACTTTAATGACCCAGATGAGGTATCAATAGATGTCTCTTCAGTTGATATATTTTCTCTGGCAAGGCATGGTAGATTTCAGCAATTGAAAAAAATACTTGAACTAGGAGTTGATCCCAATTCTAAAGATAAATTCGGGAACACCATTCTCATTGTAGGAGCCTAAAATGGCAATAAAAGTATTGTGAAATTAGCCTTGAGATTTGGAGGTCACATTAATATGACAAATTGCCAAGGTAATACACCCCTGCATTTTTGTGTGGAATATCAATATAAATCACTTTCTGACTACTTACTGAGGAAGGGTGCGAGTGTTGACATTATAAACATCAAGGGATTTAAACCAATGGAAGGCATTAAACCATAATGGTAGAGAATTGAATATATGTGATATTAATATAAGACAGCATTTAGCCATTTAGATTGTGATTATCAGTTGCTTTATGTCTAAAATACTAATCTACTTAATTTCATTTTATTTTATAACTTTATAATTATTTATCAAAATGAATCAAATCGTACAAAATGGGGTGAATGAAAATGACTAAGAAATGGCTGCTGATTATCAAAGAGATGATCTAAGTGAATTGCAACAAAATCTCATAAGATATGTAGACATGATGACATTGTCTATACATTCGATTACAACAAGAGCTGGGCCTATGTAAAGTGCTGACCAAACTGATATGGAACCAGATTTTGCCTAAAGTGATTTTGAGACCAAAAGAAAAGAAATATAATTAATAGAAAGTGATTTTGATTCTGACAAGATGAAAGCTGAAATTATCTAATAGGCTAGAGAAGTTATGGAGGTCTATAAAACTATATAGAAGGATATTAATTTGCTAGATGATGATTATAATAAAGATGAGGACTAGTTATTTAATGAGCTCAGAGATATTTAAAATAGGAATAAGGACTCAATTAGAAAGTACAAAGAGACCAAGTAAACTGCTGCTATTGTAAAAGAATAATTAAGCAGTGTTTTAAATAGCTTTGATTGATTAAATAGATTTTAAGATATAGAGAAAAATGTTTCCACTGGGGTTTTGGGGTTTTGGGGTTTTGGGG